AGGGCAGCCCCTGCGGGGGGGAGCCGATCCCTGTCCAGGAGAGGAGACGTCTATCGCGGCGGCTGCAGAGCCGCGTCTCCTCCCAGCCCTGACTCATTTCAAGCCGCTTTTAGTGCTCCCGAGCCTCTATCCCCGGAAAGCAGGGATGGGCTGGGGCAGGGATGCGGCTCCAGGCCCTCTCCCATTCCCCATGCACTTGGGAAGACGGGACACTGGGTGCTTGTCCCTTGGTACAAATGGGAACCCAGGGCTCAGCCTGCAAGCCCTGTGGAGGGCAGAGCTTGGGGCACCTGGTCACCTTGCTTGGAGCTCCCTTAATGCCACCCGTGACCAAGGCAGCCCTGGGGACTCTTAGAGGGGGAATCTTCCCAAGGCGATGCCCAGGGAGTGGGAGGCAAAGGAGATAACACATCCCCAAGGACGATCCAGTGGTGATTTCCCCTAAAAACCTCCGTTGGGATGTTGAGAGGCATCTCCGGAGGCATCTCCAGGCGTGAGGCCCTCCCGGGGGATTTACCTGGCCCTAGGACACCTCCCTTGCAGGGCTGTAAAATGTCCCTAATCTTTCCCCGAAAAAGAGACAAAAATGCGCATTTAAGAAAATTAAGGTCATAGGGGGCTACGTAAACAAGATGAATCCCCATCTGTTGGGGACAGTTTGCTGTCTCCGGGCAGCCCGGAAAAGCTGATCGGACTAGTCTTTCTCTTGGGGTCATTATTATTTTTGGCAGAGGGATTTTTGATTGAATAGGCTTTCAGTCATAAAAACAAACAAACAAACAAAAGAGGCTGGAAATGCCTTCCGTGGCTTTTTCCCCATTCCGCTTCCCTGTAGAACCATGTCCCTCGAGGAGGACTCTGCCGCAGGGAGGAAGGCTTGTCCTCCCGAAGGTCTGAGTCACCCTCGCAAGGAGCTTGGGTGGCTGCGCTCGTCCTCTGTAGGGCTCGATCCGAATGTGATGGAAACCCCAGCGATTTCCCGGCTGCTGCATCGGGACCTTCGCAATCCTCCAGCGCTGAGGATGCTCCAGCCACTGCCGATCCGGGAGCGATCAATGTGTTTGGGCCGGTGGTGGGAAACGAAAGGTTTCTGGATGGGGCCGGGAAGGATGATTCCGATGGCTTCTCCGGAGGAGCCTGATCCAGCAAAGTCCGTGGAGCCGGCCCGGTTGCCTGGCAACGGATGCAGACTACAGCCTAAAATAGCTGTTCTAATAGGAACAGGAACCGGGCCTGGTGAGCGGGGGACTTTCTTCAGGGGTGGGAGAGGAAAAAAAAGAAACCCCAGCGAGGTGAGGACGAGGAAATGTGAGATTTCCTTCCTGCCAGCTTCGCTCTGCTCCCACGCGGAGCTGCGGCCTCGACGCGCTGCCTGCGGATGCTCCGTGCCGCTCAGCCCGAGCAAATGGTTCTTGCAGGGGCTGGGGCTTTGCTGGGAGGTTTAGGTGGCTCAAATAGCCCTGGGGACAGCTCTGGCAAATCCCAGACTGCCACATGGTGCTGAGCAGGGGCTTCTGCTACCCCATCCCTGGTGCAAGATGCTGTCACCCAAATTGGGAGAACGGAAGGAAACGCGGCCCTTTGGGAATGTCCCTTTGGGGCACTGCAAGCGACACAAGTGGCCCCGCAGTGGGGACAAGCTGCTGTGTCTCCAGGGCCACCGCAGGACCCGCACGGCTCCCCCCGGCCAGGGCGGAGGGACAATCGATGGCTTTGCATCGCCCTTGGCCAATCTGCAGACGTTATCTGCTGTAAAAGTGCCCGGGAGGATTTAGTTACGGCCTTGCAGGCTTTTAAGGCGTTGCTGGTAATGTCCGAGGAAGGTGAGCGGGCGCTGGCGTTTGTCACTGTCACCCACGCGCAGTGTGAGGCGGGTTTTAGCTTTTGAGCTCTCCTAGGGCTGGGAGAAGGTCCCGTCAGTGGGTCCCCATGGGGCGCATCCCTGAGTGTCTCCCCTAAACCAAGGAAGGTCCCCAAAGACATGGGAATGCCAGTGACCGTTTTTACTCCATCTCTGCCAGCTCCTGCCACACTGGGATGCTTTGGGGTTCAGGACCTTGGGGTAAAAATGGCTCCCTTGGCTCCTTCCGTGGGCAGGTCCTGCTGATGAGGAGGAGGTGAAGCCGTAGCTGCCGCTGGTGCCGTTCCCTCCGGGACACCCTCCTTCGTCCCTGCCGTCCCCGGGGGCGGCGCGGAGCCGTCCCCATGCCGAAGAACAGCAAGGTGACACAGCGGGAGCACAGCAGTGAGCATGTCACCGAGTCGGTGGCCGACCTGCTGGCCCACGAGGAGCCCGTGGACTACAAGCGCAGCGTCCTCAACGTGACGGCCGAGAGCTGGGACAAGCAGAAGGATGCGGAGGACGAGGCGGAGGCGGAAAACCGGCCGGCGTGGAACAGCAAGCTGCAGTACATCCTGGCACAGATCGGCTACTCCGTGGGGCTGGGCAACGTGTGGCGCTTCCCCTACCTGTGCCAGAAGAACGGAGGAGGTGAGAGACGGGGCCGGGCACGGATATGGCCCCGGCCACGGAGGGATACGGCCCCATCCTGCCATTTGGAGCTGTGATTCGGATCCGGACCCAGGGGGCTGGGGGGGTTTTGGTGGCACTGGAATGGATGTGGGTCTCTATTAAACGGGGTCACCCTGCCAGGCTGCATCCCCCAGCATAGAGAGCAAGGTAGGAACCAGCCCGGGTGACACAGTCGGTCTGTCAGTCCCTCTGTCCTGCCAGCTCGTGTCCATCTGTCCCATGGGGTCTGTTCATGCAGTTAGGAGTTGCTTTTGCACCTGAGCAGCAGCAGGTTTTCCTGAGTCAGCAGCGGAGCAGTTTGTCACCTCCTGCTTTCACCTGTCCCCAAGTAGAGCCAAGGATCTTGAAATATGGGGCAGCTGGAGGAAGAAATGGGGCATTTTTGTGGGGGGCTGGAAGAGGAACAAGAAGTTGGGATCTGCTGCCAAGTGCCCAGCACTGCTCATCCCGAGCTGGCATCAGCACAGAGCCACTGGCACCTCCAGAGCTGCCCAATCTGGGCCAGTTTCTCCCCTCTGCAACCTGTGTTGGCTCCCAGGAGCTGCCCCGGGTCTGCTATAGGTGGGCTGAGACCTGACAGCCCTCGTGACACCAGTGAGTGTGTGGGTGGCACGTCAGCCACGTGGCTTCGGTGCTCTGCCCCAAGGTGCTGCCCTTTGCGGGTGCTTATTGGGACCACGGTGGCCCTGTCTCTGTGCTCGTGGGACCCGCTGCTCCCCTGGGCAGCGGCGCTTCGTGAGCTGCAGGTGCCCACAACACTTAATAACCGTCTGCCTGGCCAAGGAGCAATTTGCCGTTACGCAGCATCTTCCCACCGGGCAGCCAAGCTCCAGCCAAGGGGCTCCCACGTGTCCCTTTGGAGCGCCCATCACCTTGCAGGTGGCTGGAAAGGAGCCGCGTGCTCCAGATTCCGTCTCGTGGCCGCTCCGAGTAATTCATCAGCTGCAGCCTGAGTCACCGCATCCTCCACGGGCACTTGGTCACGCTTCCCGAGCTGCTAATTTCTCTCCGGCCTCCTCAATTAAGCAGTAGTGAGGCAGCTTTTTATTTCCAGTGATTTTTCCCGCTGTGAGATTCCTGTTCTGGACCTCCCGGAGCTCCTCGCTCTGAGGTGTCCACAGGGACCTGTTTCCCCATGTGGGTGGCTTGGTGGTGCCTGGTGTTTGAACAGATGGGTGCATGTGGGTACCGGTGTCACCAGATGGGCTTGTGTTTGCCCTTGCATCCAAGACAGCCAGATCTGTGTGTCCATGCACGCTTAGGGAAGTGTCTCCTTGCATGCCCACCAATCCGTGTGTATCTGAGCACGCTTGTGCTTTTTGGGGTCCATTCCTCGTGGTGCGAGTGAGCAGGAGCTGATGAACCAGCCCGGCTGGCTCTGTCCGTCCTGTCGTTCATCCGTCCGTGCTCGTGAACGCAGGCAGCGCTGGATGTGGCTCTGTGACGTGTCCTCTTGCCCCTGGCAGGTGCCTACCTGGTCCCCTACCTGGTGCTGCTCATCCTCATCGGGCTCCCCCTCTTCTTCCTGGAGCTGGCGGTGGGGCAGCGGATCCGCCGGGGCAGCATTGGCGTCTGGAATTACGTCTGTCCTCGCCTCGGGGGCATCGGATACGCCAGCTGTCTGGTGAGCGCATCCCTGGTGGCCTCCGTGGGCCTGGGGCCGGTTTGGACCGTGGGTTCCCCCACGGTCCCTGCCCAGTGGGAGGTATTTTGGGGACCACGCTGCTACCTTGTGACTACCTGTCACCTCCTCCTTCCTCTCCTGCAGGTGTGCTTTTTCGTGGGGCTCTATTACAACGTCATCATCGGCTGGAGCATCTTCTACTTCTTTAAGTCCTTCCAGTACCCGCTTCCCTGGAGCGAGTGCCCCATCGTGAAGAACGGCACGCTGGCCGGTGAGGGGCTCCCCTGGGGACAGTGGCTCTGGCCGGGCCATTCCCACCCAATTTGGCACGGGTGGCGCTTGTGGGGACGCTGGTAGCTGGGATCACGGAGACGTGGCTCCTATCAAGACTATTGGGTGGAATCATACAGGGGTTCTCCACCAGCTGGGTATTATAAAATGTCACTTTTTCTGATAGACCTTAGACACCATCCCTTGAAGAAGAGTGTTTCTGGGGCACCGCCGCCTTCCTGATTGTGCTCGTTTTGGGGTCCAGGTCTTGGGTCTCCAGGATGCCAGGATCCAAGCAGGACCATGGGAGGGAGGCAGCAAGAGCCGGGCAGGACTGCACCAGGCTTGCTTGGCTGCTTCCTTAGTGCCCAACCGAGGCCCTGGTGTAGTTAACGGTGTGTTCAGCAGTGTCTGAGCACCTCCTTGGGACACTCCGGGAGGTTTTATGGCAAATGCAAATGTCTCTATCCATATTTAACATCTCATTTGATTACTTGATGATAGCGTTCCATCTTAACTCCTGCTTTTCCTGCTAAAAATGACTCGTGGTCCTGCAGCAGGTCTTTGACTCTCCCCAAGACCCCTCGTGCTCTTATGCCTCTGGTTGGTTGCAGTTGTGGAGACCGAATGTGAGAGGAGCTCAGCCACCACCTATTTCTGGTACCGGGAGACCTTGGATATCTCTAACTCCATTTCGGAGAGCGGCGGCCTCAATTGGAAGATGACCCTGTGCCTGCTGGTGGCCTGGAGCCTCGTTGGCTTGGCTATGATCAAAGGCATCCAATCCTCGGGGAAGGTGGGTGTTGCTGCCAAGCCCGTCTGGATCCGTCCCCAACGTTGGGCTCTGTCCATGTAGTCAAGACAGAGGCTGCCTGCCCCGTCCATGTTCTCCTGCCCAGCTGCCACTCACAGCGATGGCCCTGGGAGCAACCACCTTGGAAGAGCCAAGTCAGCTCCAAATGGTGAAGGATACCAGCTTTGGGCCACATTCCCCTTGTCCCCACTGCCATGTAGTCCTTGGGTTGAGGGTTAGGAGCTGAGCATGGAGGAGATGGGTGAGATGGACGCCACATAACGTCCTTTCTGCCCTAGGTCATGTACTTCAGCTCGCTCTTCCCCTACGTGGTGCTCGTTTGCTTCCTGGTCCGGGGCCTTCTGCTGCGAGGGGCAGTGGATGGGATCATGCACATGTTCACCCCCAAGGTAAGGGATTCTCCACTGTTATCCCGTCAAGCCCAGCAGGCTCCGAGGAGTTTCCCCTCCTGGCTGGTTGCGCCGGCTGCTTCCCGGGAAGAAGGTGCAGTTGCCATGAGCTCCAAGGCAAACCAGGTCTGCTACCACTTGCATGCCCTCAACTACCTGCAGGGGCTAAAAACCAGGGAATTAACCCCAACTCCATAGGAAGACACTAGGTGGCAGAGAGCCCACCATTGGTGTGGTGCATCCACTAATTATTCAGCTAATTAATGAAATAAGAAGAGATGTAGATGAATCAGCTCAGCTGGCAAAGCTGTTACGGGATTAATTATGATCTCTTGATGAACAATGCTTGGAGGCCTCCAGTCTGCGGCTCTGGCTCATGGGAGGAGATATAGTTTAAGGGATGTGATTTAGGGGATGTGATTTTGGGGATTTAGGGTGATTTAGGGGGTTTGACAAACCTGTGAGCTGAAACATTTGACGTCAAACACTGCAGTAGCTCCCAAGCTGCCTAATCTTCTTCTTCTCTCTTCTCTCCAAGCTGGATAAAATGCTCGACCCCCAGGTATGGCGCGAGGCGGCCACGCAAGTTTTCTTTGCCTTGGGCCTCGGTTTTGGAGGTGTCATCGCCTTTTCAAGTTACAACAAGCAGGATAACAACTGCCACTTCGACGCGACGCTGGTGTCCTTCATCAACTTCTTCACGTCTGTTCTGGCCACTCTGGTTGTATTTGCTGTGCTGGGCTTCAAGGCCAACATCATGAATGAGAAATGCGTGGTGGAGTAGGTGCAGTTTCTGGCTGTCTGGGATGGGGGAATCTGATGCTGCTGTTGTGCTGGGTGCACGAGGCTCTTGTCCATGTGCTGGAGGTGATGGAGGAATGTCCTCAGGCTGGGTGATGCTGTTCGGTACCCCAGAACAGCTGGACTGAGGTGTATTTGTGTAGCAAAGGCCCTGCCTGCCTGGTCCAAAGGGCTTTCTTGGTCTGGCCATGTCCTCCACCCCGAGAAGGAGACTTCTCGGGGTGACCAGGTGCTGCTCTCCCTTAGGAACGCTGAGAAGATCTTGGGGTACCTGAACACCAATGTGCTGAGCCATGACCTCATCCCACCCCATGTGAACTTCTCCCACCTCACAGCCAAGGACTACAATGAGATGTACAGGGTGATCATGACGGTGAAGGAGGGGCACTTCAAAGAACTGGGACTGGATCCCTGCCTGTTGGAGGATGAGCTCAATAAGGTACTCGGAGGCTTTCCTGGTAGGATAAGGAGGTCACTTCACCCATTGGCCCTTCCTGGTAGGATCCAGCAACAACTCAAGTTGTTTCTGGCACATGGACCACGAAAAAAAAATACTTTTAGAGATCTTCCAGGGAAGAGGGTTTCCTGCTCCCATGATCTTCCTTGGTGGACAGTGATCCTTGCTGGGATAGGGGAAAAGTTTTGCCCACAGCAAGGCCAGCAGAAATCTGAGGTCATGTCTGTGTCCAGGACAGGGTACCAGGCTGTATTTTTCTTCCCCTGACGATTCAGGATGATGGCAGAAACCTAAGGTATGAGATTACAGAATATGGTATAACAAGCTCTGTCCCTGATGTGATTCTCCCCTCTTTTTGTCCCTCTCTCTGGCTGGACAGTCGGTGCAAGGAACTGGATTGGCCTTCATTGCCTTCACAGAAGCCATGACTCATTTCCCAGCTTCGCCGTTTTGGTCCGTCATGTTCTTCCTGATGCTGATAAACCTGGGGCTGGGGAGCATGATTGGCACCATGTCAGGCATCACTACACCCATCATAGACACCTTCAAGGTGCGGAAGGAAGTGTTCACAGGTGAGGTCTTCTCCTGCTTTGTCCTGGGGAGAGGTTGGAGGGTCCCCATAGCCCTGGGAAATCTCTCCAGAAAAGTGTGGACATGATGGATGTCTACTTGGCCCTGGAGGCATGAACAAGCAGCTAATGGACTGTGTGATGGAGTCCTTGGTCCCCCTTGGAATCCGCTGCTGACCGTGTCCCTATGCTCTCTGCAGTTGGCTGCTGCATCTTTGCCTTCTTGGTGGGCCTGATCTTCGTGCAGCGCTCTGGGAATTACTTTGTCACCATGTTCGATGATTACTCGGCTACCCTGCCGCTCACTGTTGTGGTGATCCTGGAGAACATCGCTGTAGCCTGGATTTATGGCACCAAGAAGTAAGATATTAGCCCAGCAAGAGTATCTGTGCTGTCCTGACTAAAACCTGTCCTTTCAGCTCTTTCCCATAGTATGTTCCCTGCTGGGAGCCAGCTCTGAGGGAGTAAATGTCCCAGATGCAGCTACTTTATAGAGGCAGTAGCTGATTAAGCCGTAATAACTCAGTTCACCTTGATCTTCTACCCAGCCCCAGGAGCAAATCTTTCTAGAGGGCATCTCGTGTTGGTTATGACGCTGTGTTACTTGCCATGACCCTTTTGCTTGAGGCTTTCAGGATGATTCTGGAAGGGGCACCTTGTGCCCATTCTCTTTGTCTAGAGCAAGGTGTCCAGGTAGCCATTTTCTGAGGAGACTCCCAGCCAGTCCTATGGGCACTAGGAACACTGAGATCCTTGCTTGGACTCACTGGGCTCTTCTTCCTACATGGGGCAGTTTTCTCAACTGAGGCTGTTGGGAGGACACTTCTCATTTGAGAGTGGGGAACATCACGGCTCTGTCTCCTTCTCTTGGCAGGTTCATGCAGGAGCTGACAGAAATGCTGGGTTTCCGTCCCTACCAGTACTACTACTACACCTGGAAGTACGTGTCGCCCATCTGCATGGCCGTGCTCATGACGGCCAGCATCATCCAGCTGGGGGTCAGCCCGCCCGGCTACAGCGCGTGGATCAGAGAGGAGGTGAGCTGAGAGCTGAAGAGCTTCCTGCTCTGTCCCAGCTCTGGTTGCTTCTCGTCATCCTGCGAGACATCCTGGCTGCTCATCCCCTGTGGGCGAGGATCAGGTTTGACCACACTACCCACAGGTCTTAAGCCAAGCCTGACCATGAGCCAGGGTTTTAACTAGGGATTCGTTTTGCACATGGTCGGTCCTTACCTGATGAAACATCTGAATGGAGCATGGAGAGGTGAGGAGTGGGGCTGAAGGATCTCACAGCTGGGCTCCAGAGTGGAGCTGTGTTCTGGTGGAGAGACCTCAGCTTCTCCAGTGGTCTCCAGCTTCTCCAGAAGACCAGAAACTGACCTTCTGTGTTTCTTCCCAAGCATCTCTTAAGATGTGATTCGCCCATTTCTTCTTCATATCAAACACACTTAGCACAAAGTAGGAAGTTCAGGGACAGCCGGGGCTTGCTAAGTGTAGGCGATAAAAAAACTACATCACACTTCATAGCCCTCCCTTCCTCCTCTTCTGACTGAAATATTTGCAGAAGCAAATGTGCTGTTGGGACACCAAATCCCACGTGCACTTCTGCAAAGCAGTGAGAGCTATGTAGAAGTCGGTGTCCTGCAGTGAGGAGCTCCAGAGCTTCACTATACCTGCGAGAAGGACCGTGTCCCTTCCTTGTTCTGAACTTGTGGTTAGCTTCATGTGAAGATGAAGGCTGGAAGGAGGCAGGAGGGGTTGTGTAGCACTCGGGAGGCCTTGTCCCTGGTGTACATTGCTCTGGCCTTTGCTCTAGTCGTCATTTTTAGTGGCTCTGAAATGCAAGAAGGGGCCTGAAGCTCTGCTGCCCACCTGGGTGGAAGAGTGGATGAAAGGAGGTGGAGAGGAGAAACTAACACCACTAATGCCCCTCTAATGACACTAATATCCCTCTCTTCCAGGCTGCAGAAAAGTTCCTTTTCTACCCAACCTGGGCCATGGCTATTCTCATCTCTCTGATCATCCTGGCGTCACTACCTCTGCCCCTGGTCTTCATCCTCCGCCAGTTCCACCTCGTGTCGGATGGCTCCAACGCGCTCTCTGTCACTTACAAGAAGGGCCGGATGATGAAGGACATCTCTAACTTGGAAGATAATGATGAGACCCGCTTCATCCTGAGCAAAGTGCCCAGCGAGACCCCCTCACCCATGCCCACACACCGTTCCTACCTGGGTCCTGGCAGCAACTCCCCCATGGAAATGAGCAATGCCCCAAATGGACGATACGGGAGTGGGTATTTACTGGCCAGCACCCCTGAATCTGAACTGTGACGGTCGTCTGCCTGCCACCCCCACCGGGAGAGAAGGTTACTGGGGAGTGGATCCTAGCTGGCCAGGCAACAGGAAAATTAATTAATAAAGAAAATGACAAAGAAGAACCCCCTCTTAGAACCGTAATCAAAAGTAGTCATTTCCAAGACAACACGGGGAAGAAGGGATTGCAGGAGGGGCAGGACTCTCTTCCTACAACCTCTGGCCGAAGGACAGGACCCCTCGGGGGCTTGTCTACAGGGAGAGGAGGAGGAGCAGGAGATGCTGCCGTATCTTCCCGAGGGTTATTCTCGTGCAGCTTAGAGCTGGAGCAAAGAATCTCACTTTTTGAGCAGCTGGTGTTTGTAAGAAGGACCCAGAGTAAGGTGGAAAGCCAACTGTGCTTCCTCCTGTATCCCAGAGCTCTTCCCTCGCCGTTGCCCTTTACCTGGGAGAAGTCATGGCCTTACTCCGACGAGCACAAGTAACCATTGAAGTTCATAGCACAGAAAGGTGCTCTTGTTGTCACCGTTGTTGTTGTTGCTGTTATATTTCCTGTAGTTTTTTTATAGCTGTGGACACACCCTAATAACCCCAAATTTTGGCCAGAGTTGGCAGGGAGCGGTGCTGGGTTGGTTGAGTTGTTGTGATGGGTGGGATTGCTGATGGTAGCTCCCCGGTGTCTGCTACGTTACCACTAGCACAGAGGCAGCATCTGAGAGTTGTTTGGAGATGTGACGATGGCCCCTCTGTGTGAAGATGTGGCTGGCACCCTCCTTGGCTAGTGGCAGAGGGACCTCAGAAGTCGGCGTGATTTTTCTGGATGCGTGTGCAGGATCTAGGCAGAATTACTGTGACATGGATCTGGAGCAACCTCTTGGAATTACTCATGGCACGTGGGATGTCCTATTACATCCAAACCTCTGGTATGGTGAATTGTTTCCTCTTGCTACTCTCAGATGTCCTGGAGGGACAAGCAGAGAGGCTGTGGGACATACGGTCCCCCCACAGTCCTAGTTTAGCTCTCAGGGAACCATCCCCTGACTCTCCTCCACGGCCGCCAGCCGAGCTGGGCTGGGCAGCAGTCGTCTATAGACAGGTATCTTCATCTCTCGCAGCTTCAAGCCAGGTCTGCGCTGGCTCCTGTTGTGCCTCTGCTAGGGATTCTCCTGTGGTCTGCAGCAGTGGTAGAACGTGTCTTCTGGGCACCAATGACTCTGGGGCTGGCGCCAGCTCCTAATGTCCTTGCTAGTGCTTGGTCCTGGCTGGTGGGTCTCTGTTGAGTAGCTGGGCTCCATCGTGCCCATCCATGTTATCTGGAGGAGGAGTTGCCCTCTCTTCTTCTAGGCACATCGCTAAGGTCTCCAATGCCGAGGGTGCTCCTTACCCTCAGTCCTTGGAGTGCGGGCGATGGTATTTCACCCAATTTGAAGGCCATGGTCACAGGTGCTTGCCCACAGTCTCTTCTCTCCTCTTCTGTGTTCCTACCCCTCCCACCCTGAAAGGAGCTTCCCAGCCAAGAAAGTACCTGGTCTGCTCACCATATCCTTGACTTCTCTTGGCATCTCAGAGGCAGGAGGTTCCTCACAAAGAGTTTTTTGTGGTCCTTTATTTTTAGCCTTATACTTTTCCTCTCTTCCCCTGTCCCTACAGAGGGATATGAAGATTATCCCCCCGGTTCATCTTGAGAGAAGCACAAGCGCTTTCCTTGCCATTTTTCTCCTATTTCTCCATCTTGCTGCCTCCTCTTCTCCTTCTGGCCAGTGAATCAGAGGATGAGCCAAACCCTTATGCCCATGTCACCTTCCCCGTGTCCCCACGTCCCTAAGTCAGACCAGTGCCCTCAAGCCCAGGGGCCGCATTCCCACCTCGGCTCCCATGGAGTTAACAGAGGAGGATACCTCCGGTAGCCAAACCCCACGGTCCTGCCCACTCTGGAGGTGCAACTTCCCTGGAAGCCTGGGGGAAAGGATGTGGCTCTCTGGTGACAATTCCCAAACCAGCTAGGGAGGCGTTCGCTTTCCTTCCATCTTCTTGCAGGGCCAAGTCAGTAAGAAGGTATCAAAAAGCTATATTTATATAATATTAAAAATATATGTATACAAAGAGAGGAGATGGGACAATATCCTAGAGATTCTCTATTTCTGATGTATATTTATCCTGTAAATGTCACTGTAAATGATGTTAAATGGCACAGCCCCCTGCACCATGGCTTCCCGGTTGTCTCCACGCTGTACAGCTCAATTCGCACCCCTTGGACCACGACTTTTCCTTCCCATTTCTTGGGTGCAGACGGTGACCATGTTCCCTCGCCAGTTCCCAAGGGTCCTGGCACCCAGCAGACAGGAGGGGTGGGGACACCCCATTTTTCCCTCTTAACCGTGAAAATACTGTATTTCTTTGTGGCATTCGCTTGGTGTTAAGCACAGGGAGTGCAGGGGGGTAAGTTTTTAGGGGGTAGTGTGTTGTCAACATGTGAGCGTGTTCATCCATAGGCTGTGCGTGTGTGTGTGCATTGGGGATGTTTGTGTGGGGTTGGGACTCACTTTTCACCCTATTTGGTCACTTTTGGAGCTGGTGCTGGGGCTGTTTCTCCCGCTCACTGGGTCGGCTCCATGCGGATGCACCTTTGCACCATCCCTGCGCCTCGCCCCCTTTATTCCTTATTTTACTTTTCCTCACGGAGGCGCAGGGAACGGCTGCTAGTTTTGAGCACAGGCACTTTTTGATTTTCCTCCGGGACATTGCAGGAGGAAGGGGGAATTGCTGCTGCTGCTCCTGCCCGCTCCGATTCCCGGCCTGCATCCCACTGCCTGCCGGGAGCCGCTGGCATCCCTGGATCCACCTTGACTGGACTAGGAGAGGTCAAAAGTGGCCAGCACTGAGGAGCTGTGGCGGTGCCAGATTTATGGCACGTCCCCATGTCCCTTGGTCCCTCCTGTACAAGTACAAGCACAGAGCTCGTAGTCGCGCGTCCCGTGTATCCTCGTAGCCGGTGTATTTACCAAGCGGGCCGTGCTGAGGGGGATCCTGCTCCGTAGGACCCCGCCTTAGAGCTGTAACAGAGTCCGATTAAAAGTCTCTTCTTACCAAATTGCCTCTGTTTCTTGACTTGGGGAGGTTTGGGGGTACAGAAAGCCAAAGCCAGAGCATCTCAGAGCAGCAGGGCTGCATCTGATGCCAGAGCCCTTGAGCAACCCTGACTCTTCCTATCCCTGCATATTTATCTGTCTGTCCATTCCCCTCATTATCTTTCTATTCCCACTAATCCCTCCCTTGTCCCTCCATCCGTCCCCCTTCTTTTTTTCCCAGAAAGATCCCCCCATACCCAATTGCCAGAGAGGGGCACCAAGTCTTTGGCATCTCTTAGTCCAGCCCCCAGCACGAAAGGCTCAGAGTTCCCGTGTGGCTTCCGGAGGTTCCTGAAATGCCACCATGGGGATGGTGACTCTCCTGAGGGCCCCAAATCCGTACGGCATCTCCCAAGGGTGTTGGCCTGCTGAAGGAAAGAGGTAGATGCAGCCTGGCCGTGAGTGCTGGGCTTGGGAAGAGGCCTGGATCCCAGGAGTGGAGATGTGTCCTGGCCATGGGATTGTGGCTGGGAGGGGTGCTGCTTGTCCCTGACCACCATGCAGCACTCTGCATCATTCCCATCTCCTCTCCCAGGCATGGAGGAAATCCCAGGGTAAGAACCCCAATGGCACCAGGCTTTGGAGCATCTTTGGGATAGCAGTTATTGCAAAGACTTATTCCATGGAAAAGCCCATGGTGGCCACAAGACCAGGAGGGAGAAACCAGGGTGGGTTTCAGCTCCGGGGACCCCACACCTGAGAGCAGCTCCACAACCAGAGCCCCCCAATTCCCAGCATCACCGGATCCGTGCACGGCCCAGCAGATGGTTGGGGTTGTGGTGGTGCTAGGAAAAGAACCTAAAAGCAATGGGCCAGAATGCAAAATTCAAGCGGCTGGAACAGAAGTGGGTGCCCATAACAAAATCTGAAGGCTCCATGGAGGCGAGAGGGCTGGGAAGAAAATATCCTTCCCCTCCCAAAATAACTGTGGACCATCCATTCCTCACCTCTGGATATGGACATGCAGTGTCTCCTGCTAAGAGCTCATGGCTCCTGGACTCGTCCATCCCTGTCTGTGGGGATGGGGGCAACGGTGGCAGCTCCTGTGATGCTCACAGGGACTTAGGGGCCGGGTGGGCCTTGCCTGGCCCTCCACCCGCCACCCGACGGTGACATCGCGACAGCGACGCGGCGGATGGTGGCCCGGCCCGCGCGCGGCCGGCGTGGCAGGTCCCACAAGGTGGCACTGTGTCACAGCGGCAGCGCCACCGAGTCCTCCGGAGACACGCGGTCCTGCTGGGGACACGGGCCACGTCCCCTCCCAGGCACCGAGGAGAGGGGGCTGCGACCCCCTTGTGTCCCGGATCTTTTGACCCAAATCCTGGGCTGACCTGAACCTTTTTATCCCCCAAACTCGCCCCAGCTTTAGGAAAGCTGCCTGAGGCTCACAGAGCGGTGAGGCACCGTGGGGATGTCACTGCAGTACCCTGAGTGCCACCACCTGCCCCTGGGGACAGGCCTGTCCTGCAGGGAGCAGGGCAGGATGCGAAGATGGGGAGCTGCAGGTCTCTGAGGTCCATCCCTCACAGGGTGGTGTTAGCAGGACCCTGGTGGAGGAGCTCCTTGGCTCGGCCATCTCTGCCCCAAAGCAGGACTGTGTGGCCCCACACGGCTCCTGCGGCACAGGCCGCCTTCCCCTGCATTCCCTCCATGCATGGAGACCATCCTGGTGCCTCCCTGCGCTCTCCTCGAGGTCAGGCCTGGGGCTCTGCTGCTCCCTCCCAGGTCTGGATGCACCAGGCTGGGGATGCAACTGATGCCTCCAGTCACGGCTGGGGGACAGAGGCACCAGGTGAGCCGAGGGGGCCATGCCCTTGTGGCAAATCCAAGAGTTGCTGATTTCCCATCTGGAAATGGGAAGGCTCCTCCATGATGTCTCCAGGCCCTGCTCCTTGCTTTATCACTCACCTGGATGGTGCCTGAGCTCCCTCCTTCATCTTTGCAGCAGAGACAAGGGAGGTCTCTGCAGAAATGACTCCCTCTCACTCCACAAAGGCCCTTATTCATCAAGCTTTCTATTTTCTCTCTCTCTCTCTTTTATTTTTTATTTTTTTTCATTGCATGGACATTAAAAATCTGAAGGCATATTTAGAGAGCAGGCAGCTTTGGGAGGGTGATGGTGGCGAAAAAGATCCCTTCCTTGCCTGGATGCAACCCAGTCATCTGGGCGGCCACGTCCTCCCCACTCCCCGCTGCAGCGAGGGCTCTCTCGGGATGGAAAGCGCCCTATAAAATACGAGCATCAGGTCGTGGCATTCCTTCATCCCAGCCAAACGCGCATTACTGGTGATGAGCTGCTGATGCAAGGCTTGATTTTTTCCAGCATGACTTTCCTAGGGCTCCTAGCTCCCAAAGCTGTTGGCTGCGGGGGTGGGGCAGGGGGAGCATCAGGAAGGGGACAAATTTGGGTTCAGTGGGCCAGGGACCCTCTGTGAAGGCAGAGGGGGCTGAAGAAGGGGGCAGGTGGGGGCCAGACACCCCAATCCTTTGCTCTGGACCAGGGACCTGCTGATACGACTGGGGTCCGGCTCAGCTCCCTCCAACCCAAAAAGCAGCTCTGCGGGGGGCTTGGGTCCCTCCTAGGACCCCAAAATGCCCACGGGCATCTCCTCTTCTCCCTCGCTCCCCCTGCCCAGGGCCAGGGCAGGAGTAAACAGCACCGGCAGCACCGCGTCCCTCGGGGCTTCGCCTTGGTGACAGCCCCGTCCCTCTGGGCACCCGGGCTCCTCGCCTCCTCCCCACCCCGGGGGACGGGTCTGATCTGCGGCAGCCTCGGGAGATGTAACGGCCCCCGGAGGACAGCGAGGTTTGGGGGGGGGGTCATTGGGGGCGGGAAGGTCCCCAAGGTTGGGGGTATCTTGAGGAAGGGGCA